CCTCCCCCACCCCCATTTCCCCCATTTCCTTTCGTCCATCATTCCTTCCGTTCTCCGTTTTCTTTCATGTTGGCGCCGTCGGCAATACGGTGCACAGTGGATCGAATCAATAGGAGAGGTCGGACAAAATTCGGAAACTTTATAAGCTTGTAACTCCGTTTATACGAAACTGTGAGGTTCTAAAAGGGGTTCCGTTGGTTTCCTCCTGAAATTTTCATTCTGGAGGCACCCCGTGAAATTTAAAATGTGACGAAATAAACATCAAAATTCGCAGTTTTAGTCAAAAATTTCATGTCCAACCTCTCTTATTGACTCGATCCCGTGTGCGACGTCCGGTTTCATCGCTCCTATTGCTCCACCCTCGCGACGGCACTGAACGTATTCCGTCATTAATTTCATAATACTTGTCTGATTGCAACCCTGGTAAAAATTGGCAGTAGAATCTGTGTTCCAAAATACCATAGACCTACAGCCGGCTGTATGATTTCTAAAAGCTTCTATAGCCGGCAACACAATTTCTTATAGCCTTTTATAGCCGATGGCGATTAAGCAACAGCCTGACGATAAAGTGTATGCTGTCTGTTACTAAGTACGGATGCTCGGACTTAGTGAGTTTTTGGACTACCGCTCTCTTTTTGGGCCAGAGTATCTTGATTCATTTTGCGAGGAAAGCTCCGTACTTTTGGAGGATGCCTGCCATTCCTAATATGTTGGAGCGCCTTCAATTTCGTACGATACTGTGCAATACCTCTGGTGTGAAATAGTTGCTTCAAGCGCCGTGCCACGCTGCGGCGCAGCGCGGCGGGCGGGCAGCCAGCACGAAACGCGCATTGGTGCCTACAAACCTAACGGGGATACTTCACGCATTGCGCAATGCGTGAAGTATCCCTGTTAGGTTTGTAGGCGCCAGTGCGCCGCCGCTCCGCTTTGTGTTAGGCTCTAATATTTAATCTCGTGGAGTCAGCGTTTTTCAACTCATGACTTTGAAATGTTTGCACACTCTGTATGGATTATTCTCATTTTAATTGATGAAAACAAATATGTAGTATAGGAAAATATAATGTGCGTTTTGTAAATATTACGGTGATTCCGTACAAACTTGCGGATTTACAAAGCACACGAATTTCTACACAATTTCTTATAGCCTTTTATAGCCGATGGCGAAAAAGCAACAGTCAGGCGATAAAGTTTAAAGCCTGGCGATAGGACCTACAGCCCGACTATACAATTTTTTGTCGCTTCGTGTAGCCCGGCCGTAAGATTTTTTCCCATTTTCTACAGCCAGTTATATGATTTTCTATCGCCTTCTTCAGTCGGCTATAAGAACTCCTATTGTATTTTGAAACGCAGCTCCTATCGCCAATTTTTACTAGGGAAAAGCTGGTATATTTTCATTCTCAGCTGTGTATAAGTAAATAGTTTTAATTTTGGAATAAAAATGTCAAAACTCCGACCCATACCGCTAACCTATTAATTAACGATCAAAATTTGGGCAGGAACATTTAGAAGTTTATTCGTATTCTATGACTTCGTCTACTTTTAAAGCCTGGAGCCTCGTGTCTCAAAAACTAGGTTAGTGCAGGTTGGTTTCTTTCTGGAGAGGTCTATCAATTCGAAGCGTGTGATCTCTTCCGTGATACCGTCTTAATGGAATTATTTGGATCGTTCGCCCTTGGACTCATCAGTTGAAAGGGAACACTGCTCCTCTCTCAGATTAATTTCACCGAAGTGCATTTCACGCGCCAAGTGTTGAATCGATCGGTTGACCGGTAACTGCTCTTAATGGCATTACCAAGAGTAATGACATTGGAGTTCATGAAAAATTATTTCTCATTGCGTTCTTCATCGATTAAGGGCGACTCAGCCAACATTGCCATCTTCAAGATGGGCGACAACTTGTTAGTGATTCCAATTGGATGCGATCGGCCAATCGACGTGGAGAGTGTGTTTCTAGTCCCCCCGGAGTTTGATGTTGTTGATTTAAAATGATCTATACAAAGAATCCCCCAAAAATCATTGGATTCCAGAGATATTAAAGGATGTCTCAAGGGTACAGAAACTTGTTAACCAGGTAAGCGACCCGGTTTTATGCCGGTTTCGTGAACTGCATGGGAGAGGAAAAAAATGGGGAGACTTGGTACGAAACACGGCGTTTCAGCTGTAGAAAGTCCGATTTTATGTATGGAAGGTTTTTTCTTTTGTTTTTTTTTGTCGATTGAATTTGGGGGAACGCTTTGGACTTTCTGCACCCCTGGGATAGACTTTCCCCTTTGGGTTCATTGCGATTCGGAACTGGAACTACACTCTCGTTGCGCAGTTTTAGTCCTCTACGCCACCGATAATAATCTTGTTAGGAAGTAAAGATGAATTTTCGCTGGTTGAGCGAGTCAAATGGCGGAAGGAGATGCACGGTTGTCACTTATCAAATGCGGAGCGAGTGATCGGGGGTGGAAGTGGGTAGTATTTGTTGAAATGTGTGGATATTTTACCTGTGAAAAGGCAAGGAAGGCGAGGCTGGCGGTGATGAGAATGATGAAGAGAAAGGGGAGAAGACGGAGAAGATAGGTGGAGCGGCGCGGGGCTCTGCTCCGAGTGATGATCGTCACTGGGCGGCGTAGCCCCTTTCCACTCATTTTCGCTCTCCAGCATGCCGATGCTGCAATCCACAAACATTCAACATTATTATTCAACATTCAACATTTTCATATTCAAAACAACTCAATGCCCAGTGTTTAGCCTAATGGAGCCGCTTTCATAACCACGCTCACCATGGAATCGTCAAAATATACATATTTCTAAGTTCCACGGGAGAAAAGTGTCACGGATCATCCCCTAAAATTGGACGTATTTTAGTGCCGTGGTGTGAATGATCGATTATTATCGATACCTCGTCATTTGAAACTATGGTAAAGAATCCATCACTGGGTTGTTGTGCCAACACCCTGATAATCGATCTTTTTTCAAAGATTTGAGTGGTGTATCAATCGATATATCGCAAAGCAGGCCACGTCACTGGTATTTCTATCAAACGGAACTAAGCGCCATAGGGGGAGGAAGGGAGGGGGGCTTGGACTGGCGGGTGTTGCGGAACGCGATGCTCGTTCCGTCGTATACTCGCAATGCTTTTCCATGGCGCTTAGTTCCGTTTGATAGAACGCGCTCTCCGGGATTCTAAAATCCTCAAAAGGAACTCAAATTGGCGCTTAGTTCCGTTTAACAGAAATACGTCAAATTGTGGCACTACCCCAATTTGTCGGATCATATGGACATTTTCAATTAATTTTGGTATTATCGCAACTCAAGTTGGGACAGCATCGCAGCATTTGGGTTAGTAACCCAATTGGTACTACCGAAATTAACTGGAAATGTCCATATCATCCAACAGCTGGGACACAACCCCTACCTTTTTTTTCTCGTGTGCATCTAAAAGTCTCATATCAACAGCTAAGGTGCGACAATGCGTATTTAAATAAAGGTGTTTCGAAACTTCCGCTCCTATTTTATTTTTTCCAAAAGAAACAAGCCAACTTTATGGCTTAAAATTTATCCAGATTGTTCTAACAGAGATGAAAAGTCGAGGAAGTTTTTTAGAAATTAGATTGACTAGTTTTTCAAAGAAAAAGTAAAGAATGACAGAAAGTCTGCAACATTGCAGACGGAGATACGTGGTTATGCACTGTGGCCATCGAAGTTTAAGCAATCAAATCAAATGGATAGAGTTTAGCACCAGGGAGAGAGGGAGGCTTCATAGTCATGATCACGATGGAACAAGCAAAGCAATATTAGAAACTTTACGAGATCGTCATGATAAATCCAGACTGATTTATTCGTGAATTTAGAAAAACTTGCGATTATAAATTTTCTAGGACAGTCATTTTCTGATGATACGTTCTCTCGTTTAATATGTATTTACCTGAATGTAGGAGTCTCAGAATCCGAAATGACTGATAAATCAGTTTAAAATTTTCATTTTAAAGGCTATGATACATTAGTGGCCAATTTCGTGTTATAAGTGCAAGTGCACTAAGCAACATCCAAAGCTTACTAGACTAGGCACGAGGTGAAACATTCCGCCATATCTTTTCTCTGCGACATGTCACAATGGAGAATTTGTATGCAAATGTTTTATTGCTTCATCTGGAAGTGCTGAAAGAGCTGATTTTACAGTATTTTTTATAATTTTTTTCTGATATGGGAAAGAGTATGAACATAGCATAGATTTGAAAGTGAGAAAATGCACCGCCTAGTGACGTCATCTGGCGGCCTTTCCCATTAAAACACATGTATTTTAGCAGATTAGATCATTTTGTCACATCTTCTCCAATAATTGTTTGATTCATGAACCAAGGGTATCCTCATGTTCAGGTCACTCAGTGGTTTCCTTTTAAACACAAAACACAAAATTCATCAGATTTCAGGCACCTGCAAATTCTCTATTAATTATTTTTTTTAAAATTTAAATGCAGAACTAATACAAAATTATCACGCTTTAACTTGAAAATATATAAAATTATTTGAAAGGAAAAATGTAATACCTTTTTTATGTTTGATTATCTTGGAATATCCTGTATGCTGTGTTAATTTCAGGGTGGAGCGGTTAAGGGCGGCTTTTCATTCCCGGAGGGATGCGCCGCATCGTATTCGGGACCTGCAACATGAAGGGAGAGGGGAATTCAATAGAAGGTTGTAAGAAAGTTTCATACGAAAGGTTCATATAAAAGGTTCATATGAAAGGTTCATACAAGTAACATGTTCTTTCATGAGAGCATTTAATCGTCAAACGAAGAAATAATCCGCTGCAGGTGCAGGCTTTAGATTCTATGGGGAAAAAACGGACTTAAGTCTTTGAGACCACGCAGTACACGTGCAACGGTATAGCAGCACACAGAATTTCGTGCAATGAATTTTGATCGTTGCCATTTACGGAAGTGAATTATGATGGAGAAAGTATAGGACGTCGCAAACTGAGATACGTGTTCCTCTACATCGTTTCAACACATTTCAATGTTACAAATCTTGCGAGTTTGGACGGATGAAATTCCTCTAATTGAAATAGCAGTACCTTACAGTTAGACCGGATTTCAAAAAGAAATCGGGTGACGCAAAAAACTAAGGATAAAGACAATGTTTCCCCAGTTGATTCTGCAGTTGGACTGTTTTTCAACTTTTTAATGACTTTGACTTGATGGTTCGTCAAAAATTCATTATTCATTTGGTCGTGGACAAACACATTGAGGCTAATCGATACACTGCTATATACTGATAAAATGTACGTAAGTAATCGGAAATAAATACCGTGCATGATAATAGGGAGACAATTGGATGAGATAGGTAAGTTTGCGCAGAGAGGAACAGTTTAAAACAAAAAATCAATCTAGTTTATATTTTAAAATGAGCAATAAGGACGCGCGTTGATGACGGCGCGGAGATACAACTATTCGTGTCTGACGGATGTCCGTGCTGCGTCTGCGAAATTGAAGGCGCGATTGCGCGTGGCGTTTTGAATCAATCGCTGATTTTCAATCGGCTAGCTTTTTGAAGCAAGACCGATTTTTAGCTTTTCAATCAGTCTGACCTCATAGTGCGTCCAATTTGATGACCTTTATTCGCGCGCGGATCAACACATTGTCAAAAGTGGCGTAGCGTGCTTTACGATACATCGATTGATCTGTCATTTAATGATATGGAAAAGGATCGATAAACATGGTGTTCACAACGATCAACCTATAAATCGATTCTTTACCATAATTTCAAATGGAGACATATCGAAGATCGATGATTCGCGCCTCGCCACTGATGTCAAGAATCGAGACTCTACTGTAGTGATAAACTTTTATTTATTCTGAAACAAATGTTGTGTGCGAAAGCAGGGCGACATTGAGATGAGGTAGCTGTGTTTGCGCTGCAAGGAACAATGATTCGTATGTTGAGACTGCATATAAACCTCCCTCTATCGATCTGTATTTGAACGGCACTTCCGGAGCTTCCACACCGTTTTCTGTCGTGTTAAGGAAAAACGCCTTATAAACTTCCCAACGCCGCCAGATTCCTTCCTACGATATTTTTGCATTTTAGAGGAAAATACATAACGGCTATTTTCCTCTGAAATTTTTAAAGAACAAGGTTAAACTGTAGAGTAAAATTCTGTGGTAAATTCAAAGAAATATAACGACGGTGTAAGTCGGCAATCACTCAACTTGTTTGCGGTGTCTGAAAATCTCCGCCTCTTTGTCATTTCTTTAACGAAGAACAAATTGACATCATTCCTTGAAGTTTATGCAGAATTTTCTTCACACGGAGAGGAAAAATCACGGCAGTTTTAAAGAGTTTCCGTTCAGTAGTTTTCCGTTTAAAAAGTAAAGTATGACAGGAAGTCTGCGACGTCGCAAGCCGAGTTATGTGATTGCCGACTTTACACCATCGATAAGCGATGAGTCTCAAGAAGATTCGAGGTTTCCCCCAGAAATATGACAACTTTCGAATGCTTCTACGGCATTCTTCCATAACACGGCAGTTTTTTATCGTTGTCGGTCAGAGTCGGAGTGTCATACTGCCGTGCTAAGCAAAAACGACGTACGAACATTCGAGAGTTGCCAAATTTCTCCAGATAAAATCTGTATTTTTGAGGAGTTATTCACATTTCTCTTTGAAATTTTCAGATATCTTAAATTAAATTGCGAACAAAATTAACTGAAAATTCTGAAGAAAAATGTTCCCAAGAAAATTCGGTTTTTATTGAGGTAAATCCGGCAACGTCTAAAGGCTCATACGGCGTTTTTCATTAGCACGGCAGCATACTTTTAGTGTCTTACCATCAAAGTGTCATGCTGCTCAACTTGGTGTGTTATAAAGGCTTGGCACCATTTTTCATAGACCTTGTGCAGTTTTTACATTGAAGACTCCCATTATCGACATCAGTTACGAGCTGAGCCCTGCCGTTCAATTCGCCTTCATCCGAGAGGGTAGGCGAAACGAGCCCCCACGAGCATCAATAGTGACATTCTAAAATAAAGCTGTACCGTTACGAACTTAGCACATCTGCGGCGTAGTATTTTGATAAGACGGAGTCTGCTTGTGCATAATCTTGTTAAAAAAACGCAAATCTGTTTTCAAATTTCAAATTCTGAAGAAAATAAATGATAAAATAGGCATGAGCCCAGAAAATTATTCCTAGATTTTAAATCCGCACAGAGGTTTATAAGAGGCAAATCATACTTTAAATATCATCATTGACAGACCCTGGTGTTAGTGTTGAAGTTACGGCGCACGATAATGGTAGTATTCGGTGCCCGAAGTTGGATCTTGTTTTGTTTTTTTTGGTGAAAAATAGCTGGAAATAGATCTTGTATGGTGCGTTTACGATAATACGAAAATATGCCTGTTTTCCTCTGAATATGTTATTTCTTATGATGTACTAATAAACAGATTATAACGGAATAGAGAATTTGCAGGTGTCTGAACTTTGATGAATTTCGTGCTTAAGTGGAAACTACTGAGTTAATTGAACGCGGGGATATCTTTGGTTTATGAATTGAACAATTGTTGGAGAAGATATGACAGAATGATCTCATCTGCTAAAATACATGAGTTTAAATGAGAAATGCCGCCAGATGACGTCACTAGGCGGTGCATTTTCTCACTCTTAAATCTATTTTTATACTATTTCCCATATCAGAAAAAATTATAAAAAATACTGTGAAATCAGCTCTTTCAGCACTTTCAGACGAAAGAATAAAAAATTTGCATGCAAATTCTCCATTATGGGGAAGTTATAGCTCTCCTACAAGAGAGGTTTCAGGAGGTTGCATCTTAAACTAGGGGACAATTTCTCAAGCTCGGTAACTTGGAGAGCTTCAGCTGTTGAGATCAGAGCTCTCTTTTGGAGCGCGGTGCGAGCTTATCATCTTGGCGGCTACGGCTACTCTCGGCCTCCGACTCGGATCGCATTTCATCCCCCGGCTGACCCTCTCACCCCCTCTCACCCCCGCCAGACCCTCCCTTGTCTCCGTTCCCTTTTTCCATCAACCCCCGGTGCTCCACCGTGATAGCGGATCCAAGGCTCTCGAAAAACTCATCTTTTAATCATCTTACTTGGTCCCTTATCGCTACCCCCAACCGCCGCACAACCGGCTCATTCTTGAAATTCATAGACAAACCTATAGACAAAGAAATATAGAGGGATACTATTCTGCCGTCCTAGCCAAGAAAGCGGCAAGTGCAAAAATCAAGTCAAGAGAAAACGGGCTCACATGCTTCTGACCGGAAAATTTCACTCAAAGAAGCCTCCGTTCTTCGTCAAATTGCAACTAATCGTCCGGAAGACTCCTAGAAATCGTTTGGATGATTCAAAATCCACTGATTTTATTTTCATTTCATAAAAAGGGTATTTTTCATTTTCATGCTTTGCGATCTGACGTACGTAGATCATTGTGTTTTCATGAGCGGGAGGTTTGAATTCACGCGTCAAGAAATATTAAATATCTGGTGAGGAGTCAAATTCGGTGATTTTCGTAGCACGAATCGCGTTCGACGTTAAATTTTGATAGAACAAACGTGTATCAGAATGCTTAACTTCGTACCTTGTCTGGTGGTCCATTGTTTTCCCTTTAAATTTCTTTTAAGACCAACCGCTTAAAATTTATAATGCGATAGAACAAACACCTACATTTTAGAGTTTTATTGAAATATGCATTACATGTCTGAGCTGTTGGTAAGTGAGTTAAAGCACGAATTTGAATTAGACCTCTAAACTTTTAAAGCTTCTATATATTTTCCGACTCCTCGTATTTACTCGTTCCACCGTGCGCTGTAAGAGCGGTCGTTCCTCTCGACTTGAGAACTACCGTGCCTATACAGCAAGAACCACGTATTTACATGACGATTCCATCCGAGTTACGCCGTTTGGCTCAGCTTGGCAGAGACGAGGTGTTTCCTAATGCCGCGAGAAATGAATTCGCGTGGCCTTTGAACCGCATCTCGGATTTTTAAGGTTGTCCCTCGGGGATTCCGCACAGCGCGGACATCTTTACGATATTTTTCCGCGGATGGGATCCCGTCTTGAGCCAATATTACATTGTAAAACCAGCCGAATTCATACAAGTTTCCGGTCGTGCCATTATGAATTTCCACGAGGTGTATGTCGATGCCTAAAGTAAAAAAACGCGCACCTCAGATTAAGACGTTGTGAGTCTCCGCTCATTTTTCATTTTTTAATGGAAAATTAACCAACCTTTTCTGGTGAAATGTTATGTGAATAATCTTTACTCATTTTAATATCACACAAAATTAAGGTCATAATCTGAATCAAGGTTCGGTTCATACAACTGAATACGATTACTCTTGAGACGGAAACTAAATACTGGACCGTAACATCCTAATTTCGGGGGTTTTTTTCGGGAGAAAAAGTGGCGAATTGCCGTGGAAATATGACAGTTAAGCCCCCTTTCGATTGCTACTTGTTTCGCACTTCCTTGCCAAAATGGCGTGGATTTCGGATTTTGGTTACTCTGTAATCAATTTCTTTCCCTTCATTCAAAACGGCGCGGTTCGCATCGATATAAACCTCCTTGCTTTTTTACGGTGTTTTTTTTAAATGATACGGTTAAGCTTTTTATAAATCATGGGGGATATTACGCAATGAAGGATAAG